GACCCCGCGTTGCTGCCATGGCCGACGATCTGGACTTCACCACGGGCGATGCGGGCGCCTCGTCCACCTACCCCATGCAGTGCTCGGCGCTGCGCAAGAACGGCTTCGTGGTGCTCAAGGGCCGCCCCTGCAAGATCGTCGAGATGTCCACGTCCAAGACCGGCAAGCACGGCCACGCCAAGGTAGGGCCTCCCGCCACCACCTTGGGGCGCCCTGGTGGCATGGCAGCTCGGAGGGGTGGTTCTAGCCAGGCCTTGCTCCCAGGGCTTTGCCTTTGCTTTCCAGTTCTCACCTCCCTGCGGGTCGTGTTGGCCGAGCGCTGGCTTCACGTGACCCCCTGGGGGCTGCTGTCTGGCTGCTGCTCTAGTCAACCCTCGACTCCCTCGGGGAGCAGACTCACGGGGTCTCAGGGCTGCGTTGACGCATGTGCTCTCTCAGGGGGAACGGGACTGTTTCATGGGGGCCGGAAGGGACCTCCGGAGATCCTTGGGTCCAGCCCCCTGCACCAAGTGGGAGAGCTAACTAGGGACCAGGCCGCTCCAGCAAGGTGACTATCTAGTCGCCCTGGTGGTTTTTCAAAAAGGAGGTGATTGCACCACCTCTGCAGGGAGCTGAATCCACGTGCCTGGCATTTAAGATGCAGAAACACGAAGACCTACTCCGGAGGCAGGCAGTTTAATTTTGGGCAGAGGGCCACTTACTGAGACTTAGCAAGCCGTCGAGGGCTGCGTGACGGGCAGTTGAGGGCAGGTAAATATTTATCTTATAATTTTTTTTTAGGGGACCCACAGGCCGGATAGAATGTAGGCTGCATCCAGCCTGCAGGGGACATTTTTGCCCACTCCTGACGGTCACTAACCCAAACTGCTTAGCTAGCTAGCAGACTATGCTCTAGCTTGGGTCATCTTCACTAGACAGCTCTGGGAGTGGTGGGACCATGTTGCTAGTCTCTCAAAGTTGTAGTCAGACCCCCAGCTTTCTCTTGATAAAGGTGGTAGTTGTCTTTAAAGCTAATTCTGATATCAAAATACTGCTAGTGGTGGCAAGTGGGAGGCTAGGTCCTTGTTAGGAGTGTGTTGAAGCTACAAGACCCAAACATTGGTAGAACATTTCAGGTCGAGCCTGGAGGGGTGTTTGGCTGGAAGAGGCATCTTGCTTGTGTTTGAGGTTTATCCAAATAATTTAGTTCAGTGTTACTTTCTTTGCCTACCAAACTCAAGAATTACTTTCTTGCATTGCAGTAAACAAGCCTGTGCTTGACTGGGGGCTCTGTTCTCGTTTCTTGGTAATGATCCATTTGTTAGAATTGCAGCTAATGTAGGAACAAGTGGAAGGGGAGTGCTCATTCCTCTACTTGGCCAAAGTAGACTTGGCCAAACTAGAAAACTTGCTGATACAGCTATACTGATAGAAGGACTTTGTAGTTATATTGTGTAGACTAGACCTTGATAGCTAATCTAGTGATGCCATCGTAACCGGCCCTCGAGGAATTCTTTTCACAGAAAATGGTTTGTTTCTAAAAACTCTGCCTTCCCCCCTCTCTCCCACCAGAAGCACACAGCTAAATTTCAAATTGCACATAACTTCTTGATTCTCTGTCATCTAGGTGGAATTTAAAGATGCCTCCATAGCATAAAATAACGTTTTTCCATCTCTCCATACCCCCTCCTCCGTGTGTCCAATTGGCATTTTGCCAGTGGAAGCTCTTATTCTGTTTCAATGTTAATTGCTTCTTGCAGGTCCACCTGGTTGGTATTGACATCTTTACCGGTAAAAAATATGAAGATATCTGCCCATCAACTCACAACATGGATGTTCCAAATATCAAGAGGAGTGACTATCAAGTGAGTTGGTGAACTGGCTACAGAATTTCTTAACTGTAACCACAATAAACCTGGATACCAAGACAAGTAAACTAATACTGTTCTTAAGCTAAATTAATGTAACCTTCTGGATATTAAGAACTTGGTTAGCAGTGGCTGATGACCTAGAAGTACAGCAAACTTTGTGTTGAGACCTGGCATTAATTAGCTTGTAACACTTAATGGACTGAAACAACATCAGAAACTAAGCTCATGCACATTCAACAATTTTATTAGCAGAAAATTTTAGTGGGGTCCAATGTTTTCTTGAAATGAAGATACTTTCCCAGTTCTTGGGGATGATAACCTTTTCTTGGTTATGTTGGCAGTATAAGGAAAACACTATATAAAACCTTCCCCTGAAATCTGAGGAGTCTTCATCTTGCTGTCAGCCAATACAAGCTGGTAACATGAGCTTAGAATTTGGACATGAGCTTCCATGCTCACTAAAGAGCATAGGGGACTAGTCTGACTACATGGTCTACAGAGAAAAAATGACTCCTCTCTTCTGAGAGTAGGACTTAATTTGCCTTCAGTCTTTAACTTCTGTATGTAATGTAGTTCTTCTAAAGAGATTTTGTTGCTTCTGAAACCAAAGTGTAGAAAAGGGACTATGATCACAAACTGCTGTCATAGTAGTTGTAACACTTGTCTGAAATGGGGGGGGGGACTCTCCTTTTGCTTGGTGAATAGACTCGCATAACTGAAAGAACTACACTTAGTACAGGTGATCACTTAAGCTGTCAATTGCCCATATTTCCAATATGAAATAATTGCTCTTGATAAAACTGGTTTCTAAGGAAAGGCAAGTAACTTGGCCTCAGTTACTGCGAGTTTAACACTGGAGTATTGGGTTGAGAGATGGTACAGTAGTTCATGTTGATCATAAACCAAGTTGGCTCTGTCCATCTAATCTGGACGGAGACTACCAACATCTACTGATAGACTCAAGGCCAGGTGGGCATAGAGGATGGACAGGTAAACCTCTCCCCACCAGTGTGAAGTGAGTTGTATTGCTCCAATGCACATCGTGTATTCTGCCCTGTAGAGTGGACGCGTACCCTTTTGGAACAGTTTTAAGGAGTTAACACTTCAAAAAGGCCAGCAGCTGTTATGTGGATTAACTGGGAAGGATACAAATGTAGCAAAACCACCTCTACTTTTAACACTGCTTCATCCAGTGTTAAAGTTAGAGATCTTGTTAATTTTGTATCCTCCTCAGCTTGTCCAAGGAACTCCCTAGAATTCAACAGCTCCTGTCTTTTTGAAATAGATATGTACATTTGGGGCTGTACCCTAAATATATTTATGTCTGTCATTTGCATGACCTGGCTCTGTGCTTGCGTGGTGCTTTTTTGGGCGGGGGGGGGCAGTGCTGGAGGTGTTTAAACTTGAAATTTCCTGTTTCAATATTATTCTTCCATTTTGCCTCCCCCCTTGGCTTGATTCATAGGTCCCCTCTTTAAACAAAAAAAAAAAACAAAACAAAAAAAACCCCACTATAAAGGCTTACCAAGCCCATAAGTGTGCCAAATATAAAATGCCTGATGTGTAACTCCTGGCCTGCTGTGTCCAAAACTAGCTGCTTACTGTTCCTACTTAAATAGGAGAACTTAATGTTTGGTATAAAAATCAACTTTCTGATTAAAAGTGGCCCAGAACTTACCAGACAAATTTTTACATATTGCTTGTATCGTCTGCCCCTTGTCATAGGCCTCTAAGACGTTTCAGTTAACAGTGCTATCCAGCTCTTCCATGAAGGATCAGTATACAGAATAAGCAGTTGACTAAAACTGGAGCAGTGAGACTCATAAATAGTAATTGTGTTCTAGAAGTTTAAGAAACAAACAAACTTGAGCTATTGAAGTGGTCTTCAGATTATCATCACATCAGGTTACATAGACAATTTTACATCCTACAAGTTAGCTAGGTAACTCTTGGAATCATAGTGTCAGCTACAAAGTGCTTTGTAAATGAGTCTTAAAGCTGACCACTGATGTCAGACTTGCAACCCTAGTTTAGGAGATGCTTGTAATTCTCAGTCTTAAAAATAACCCTTTTTTAGAAGATTGTAAAGTGAAATGGCTTGTGCTTAGCAACCTAGTGCTTGGTGCTTAAAGAGGTCTCCAGTCTGTCTTGCTAGAGGACACTTGGACTCAACACAAGACAGACTAATCTATTGTCAAACAGCAAATCTATGGCGCACAAATAAGTGGCAAAGTTTTTTATAAAGTGCAACTTTTCTTTGTAGCTGATTGGTATTCAGGATGGGTACCTCTCCCTGCTAACAGAAAGTGGTGAAGTTCGTGAGGATCTGAAGTTGCCAGAAGGTGACCTGGGCAAAGAAATAGAAGGGAAATTCAATGCAAGTGAAGATGTGCAGGTAAGAAAATAGAAAGTGGTAGAAGAGCCAGCAGAGTCACTTCCATGTTCAGAAAGCAGCCAGGACCTCCTTAAGGTTCTGCAGGATTTCCAACTCTGGATTCAGTATACCCATCATCTGATGGGGCATTGATGTTGCAGCGTGCAACCCCACTTTGTGTTTCTTGGGGATCTGATCTCTATCTCTAACCCAGCTCTGCTTAGCAGTTAAGTCCAGTTAAGTGGTCCACAATGCATAGAACTTACTGGCTCTCTTTTCTAGCTACATTTACACACTTCAGTGGGGATATTTTCTGCAAAGACTTCTGTAAAACTTTCAGAAGTTGAAAATGAGTTGAGCTAGTATCTGGTTGGAATGCATTTCTGCAGTGAAATTAGGGGTGTAAAAGAATTTTGCATGCCTGTTAACATTGGCAGCAGAAGCCCACCCTTTCGGGGCATGTGGCTACTTCTGTATAGCATGATTTCTTTTGGGGGTAAGTACAAGCTGGACTGGCAACAAAAATAAACAGACACACAAACCTTTTTCTGAGCTGTACAAACCCCTCCTAATGATAACTTTCTAGCACAGGCAGGCTAGCTGCATCCATTATGGCCTCTGACAGATATGGAAAAGAAACCCAGTACTTCTCCGAAAGAGGAATCGCGTCAGTTTGACCCATCTCCCCAGTGTCTATATAGATCAGGCACTTCAGCAGGGCGTTTTCGTGCTTTTCACCTAAAGCTGATTCAGTGAGCTGTTGGATACAAGCACGAAAAAGCCCCACTGAAACAAACATGGAATCCTATACAGACATTGGTTGAGCCCAGTCAGACTAATGTGATGCTACTCTTGGGCATGTGCTGTCACACTGAACTGAAAGTAAAGTACTGGATTTTCTTTGTTTTTGTTTTCCCATCTGTAAGCAGTATGCTCTTCCCC